GGGCCTGGGCCCGAGCAGCAGCCGCGGGGCTCCCCGGAGGCGCCGGCCGCCCAGGACGCGTCCAGAACAGGTGACGTTCTCCTCCAGGCCGGGCCCCTTGTTGAGTGCGACGCTGGCGGCGGGCCTGACCCTGCCTCTCTCGACCCACCCTCTGAGCCCTCGATTGACCGTATTTGTTTGCTGTTTTCTGACGTGACTTCACTGAAAAGCTTTGACTCTCTTACAGGCTGTGGAGATATTATTGCAGACCCAGAGGAGGGGCCAGGGCCCAGTTGTGACAAGACGGCCCCGGGAGCAGGCAAGCCAGCCCTCTCTAAAAAGAACGCCGGCCTGCTGGCCTACCAAGGAGGCGGCGAAGAGATGGCCAGCCCAGACGAGGTGGACAACACCTACCTCCAGGAATTCTGGGACATGCTCTCCCAGACGGAGGAGCCAGCACGAGGTCCCCACGAGGTGACCGCGAAGGGCCCCGGGGCAGCGGAGGCCAAGGGACTTCCGGAGGCCACCCGCGAGGCCAGGAGGGTGGAGGCGGCCAAGGAGGTGTCCTTGATCAAGCGCAGGCGGCTCCACCGGATCCCCATAGAGCCCCAGCCCAAGGAGGTCGCCCAGCCGCCGGAGAAGGAGCCGCAGGAGGCCGTGCCCAACAGCGACGAGGGCTACTGGGACTCCACCACGCCAGGCCCGGAGGAGGACAGTACCGCGGGGGGCAGCGGCAAGAAGGCCGGCCTGCCCCGGGACAGCTACAGTGGGGACGCCCTCTACGACCTGGACGCCGAGCCCGACGACAGCCCCCCGGTCCCTCCCGCCCACGAAGGCACGCCCTGCCCGTCCCGGTTAAAGCCGGTGTCCCCGGTCACCATCACATGCCCCTTGCGAACGCCAGGCAGTTTGCTGAAGGACTCCAAAATCCCCATTAGCATCAAGCACCTCTCCAACCCCCACTCCAGCCACCCGGCCGGCCACCAGCAGCCCACGCGCAGTGAGACGCCTCGAACGAAAATCCCCGTGTCCAAAGTCCTGGTTCGCAGGGTCAGCAACCGGGCCTTGGCTGGGACCACTCTGCGGCCGGCGGCGGGCCATGAGGGGGCCAAAAAGGTGTGAGTTGG